AGACATGACCACATTTTCGTCATCATTATTCATGATCATTTCTTCCACGTTTGCAACATTTTGCTGGTCATAAGGATATGTTTGCTGTTGACTTTGAGTGCCATAACCATATTGATGTCCTTGATGTTTTCGACCGCCGCAAAGGTAAGAAGAACCGTATTTCTGGTCTTTGTTGCCATATTGAGCTCCTTGATTGATTGAATAAGATGAACCATATTTCTGATCGTTGTAACCATACTGGGCTCCCTGCTTTTGATAACGACCGTAAGGGTATTCCTGATTGCTATAACCATATTGATTTTCCTGTTTTCGTTCATGGCCGTAGGGGTAAGATGATCCATATTTTTGTTCATAGTAATCGTATTCAGCGTCTTGGTTTTGTTGCCGGCCATATAATGATGAGCCGTATTCCCGATCATTGTTGCCATATTGATTTTGTTGGCGATAGAACGGGTATACGTTATATGAGTATCCACTGTTAGCGGCGTTCACACGATGTCTACGACCGACACCGAGTAGACGTTCGCTGGATGCATCAACCTTGGGTAATTCATTGGTGTTTACTACGCTCTGCTTTGGCGAACCTGTTATGTTCCGAATATAAGTAATAAAATTTTGTATTTGCGCATTATTTTAGTTATAAATTATTTATTACCTTCTTGCCTCTCCAAATATTGGCTATATGATTCCTCATCATATATGCTCTGTTGGTCGCGGCGAACCCGAGAAGCTTCTTCATTGGCATTGCTATAACGGCCGGTTTGTCGATCCTCCTGTTGATAATACTGTCCTTTACGGTGGTACGGTTCTTGCTTGTAGTGCGATTCTTGCTGATAGTACGGTCCTTGCTGATAATACGATTCTTGCTTGTAATACGGTCCCTGTTTGTTGTACACTCCTTGCTGATGGTACGATCCCTGCTTATAGTACTGACCTTGCTGGTAGTATGGTCCCTTATTGTAGTACGGTCCCTGCTGATGGTACTGTCCTTTCTGGTAGTAAGGTCCTTGCTTATAGTACTGTCCTTGTTGGTGGTACTGTTGATATTTGCCTATATCACCGATTTGTTGGCCTCCTTCAATTGCTTCGGTAACTGTTTGTGTCAACTGATCGATAATAACATTTTTCAGGGCAACATTAAGGTCAATGTCATTCGTTAAGTCAGTGGCGAGTCCATTTTGTTCACCTACAGGCAATGCAATTTCTACCGGTATTTCATTCCTATCGCCAAAATAGTCAGGGTGACTTTCCCTATAGTTTACACGTTGATTCGAAGACGCAATGACAATATCTTGAGGGTCATATGCGACTTGAATACGTCTTTGTTGCAATGGATTGAACAAACCGTATTTACCACCTTCGAGTAACGAACTTATTTTACCTAGACCAAAGTAATCGAATAAACTAGCTTTTGCATTTGTACGAGTGGCTTGATAAATCAAATTTCTGTAGTCAACATTTTGTGCCGAATTGAGTACATAGTTGTCGTAGTACAGCTGTGGCAAAATCTCGTTCATTGGAGGCATCACAAGATCCTGTGTATCTGGGCGATCACGTATCGCTAGAGACAAGGCGTCCACAAAAATGACGGCGTTGAAATAGAGACGCGCATAAACAACATTTTTTTGGAATACATAGAAATCTCGGGCAAGCACAAAGAAACGTTGAAGTCCTACCAACTGACGGATATTTGAAATGTCGGCTGGGCTGTAGATGTCGTTGCGACCTAAAATTTCCTGATTGCCAGCCTGATTCAAAAACTCCTGCAAAATTTCGTCGTTTGGCTGTACAAAAGAGCTATCTATAGTAATATTTTTATTCTTACGACGCCGAATTGTTAGATACTTACCAACACATACATACTAGGGTCGGTTACGAGCTCCTGACCAAGTTGAATGAGCTGTGTGTTCACCAAGGGCTTCTGAACCTGAAGCAGGACATCGAGTAGGAATTGTTGACGTTCACTCGCACTCCGAGGTGTGTAGCCTTCATCTGAAGATTTAAAGAAGTTATTTATTATCACTTTCACAATGACTCGGTCGTGGTTTCTTACAAAGTGACTTAGCCTGTTGTCCTTGACGTACTCACGTGAGGTGCGCGATACCCACAACCATGGAGAAGGTAGCAAGCGAAATCGCAGCGTCGACCGAAAAAATAAAAATTATCACTACACAGAGCAGTACCGCGAATTGGAAGGTTTGCGCAGTGAAATTGTACGCAATATTGCCGTTACACAACAGCTGAGCTACTCCCGACGCGGTGAAATATTGCTTCAGACCATACAGGAGTTGGCTGCCAGGTTGAACATGCAGAAAATCGTTGAGAATATTGAAGGTGCTGGTTACCAGCAACAGCAATATCTACAGGTGCAGCAGGAAATCGACCAAATTACGCAGCAATTACGAAAGCTCATTGATCAAGTGCGTCAAGAGGCGAACATAAGCGAGACAAGTGAAGAAACTCTCTACATCGTGGCCAGTATTATTAATGGTAAAATAATTCTCGAACAGCAGCAACTTTCGATTGAAGCTCAACGCATCTTGCAAGATTTGCAGCAAGAAATAAAGCGCATTGCCGAAGTTGAAGTTGGTCAAGTAGATGAGGTGATTCCGCTCGCCCTGCTGGCCGGTAAATTACACAGTCCCGTTACTCAACAGACGATTCTCTCGCTTGCACAGCTTATCGATGAATACCGTCAGCAATTGCAACCATACACCCAGAACCAACTGAGGGGTGACGGCGACATTGTTGTGCAAAAAGTTCTGATCGATCCTTTGGTCACCTACACTGAGTTTGCCGATGCGGACCTTGCCAATCTAATCGATCAACAAATTTTGCAATCAAACACCAACAATCGGGAGCGTCTTAGCATGAAGGTCGTGGCACGTCAGCAGCGTTTGAATTACGAACCCTTCACCATTTCAATCGACATCCAATCACAACGTCCCCAAGAAGTCGATATTCGCATTTTGCTTGGCCCACAAATCGATTACAATGGCCGTCGTGTATCTTTGGCTGAACACCGCCAGAACTTCATTGTAATTGATGCTTTTGTACAAAAATTGCAGGGCGGAGATAACCAAATCCGGCGCTCCTCACAAGAATTTAACGGATACAGCAACGACGTTTCAACCATGAGTCAGATTTACCATCATGTAATGACAGGACATAAACAACAATATGGCAAGCAACAATATGGCACCATCCGTCAGCTGCCCGAACATCTTCTGTTACCCCGTGGAACTACTGTTAAGGGAGGCTTGCCCGTGCAGATAATGGTTGTAGTGACTCCACTGAGTCAACAAGATGACTTCTTGCAGGGAGAGAGTGTAAACACGAAGCAAATCAGTGGTTTTGGAATCGCGGGCGTCGATTTAGATCAATTACCTTTGGGCTACCCATTAGACAGACAAATTATCGGCGGTCAGAGCTTAAATGTTCCGAACATTCTGACAACTGAAACTGTGATTCACTACGACAGCCGAATTCGCGATTGAAATTGACCCACTCAGCTGGAAACTGCAAGATAAAAACAATTTTTTTTACCGACAAACTAAAACACTTTGAAATTTAAAATGAAATATTTTTAATATTAAAATTATATGCAATTGTTAAAATTGGTTTCTCACAGTACATAAATAAACAATATTTTGATTTCCAAAACGAATATAAAGTGTTATAAATAATGTTGGAAACATGATAAAAACAATACAAGGTAAAATCATTCTCTCGATTCGTCTGCCATGATTTTTTCTGACGTTTGCAAGCATTTTAAAATCATATAAAATTTGAAAATAAAAAAACTAAATTGTTCACAATTGTTGTTGTTTGAGATTTAAAATGAGAATGTGTGTGTGAGTAAAAGTTTTGAATTTTAAAATTATATGCTGGAAAACGTCAGACTACTTCTCAACGGTTTTACCTTGTAATGTTTTTTAATGACCAGTGTTGCCGTTTTAGCCCTTTGGTGGCTAGATTTAGCTACCTTTAGATAAGTTTACGGCCCTTAGGGCCAGTTTTTCAGTGCCAGTTTAAACTCAGATTAAGTAATCTGGTAAATTGAACAGCTGGCTTCCGCTTGATTGGCTGATCTTAGTTTAAACCAGAAAGGTGGGGCGTTTAAACTTAGTTTGAACCACAGCCGTGCACTGAAAAACTGGCCCCTAAAAAAAAAAGATTTAATCTGAGAACAACGGTTTAAATATGTTCGAAAATTAACAATGAAAAATTTATCGAGAAAATAAAAATCCAAAATAGCTGTTAACTCGGATCGGCATAATAGAAATTGATTTTAACAATTAAATCAACATAACCGCTACGGTCCCTGCTTTTTTAAATATTTTGTCCCATCTTCGGCATTTACAGTTGGTTCTTTAAGATATGAAATATTGATGGTTTTGTCTCCAGGAGCCGTTCTAATACTTATCACCCAGATCTCAGCTCTTATCACCCTAGCATACTGCCGCAATCTCGCTCACCAAAAATCATTAAACGTTTGCTAAGGAGGTATTTATTATTCTACTGGATCTATTATTCTAGTGGACCTATTAAAAAAAAATCCATATATTCATAGGTGTCATCGAAAAAGGTGAAAAGGCAACGCCTAAATTAGGCCAAAAAAAATTAGTTTTCTCGAAATTGCCTTTTTTCTGCAAGGCGGTACGGTCTATGCACATTTAACTACATTAGTATGTATGTGGTCTTTATTTTTTGAGATTTAATATTTGCATGATTTACTCGAAAAAATTAAAATAAAGAAAGATCAGATTTTAACTTTATATCATCTGCTGCACACATTTCTTACTTTATTATTAGTAAACGGGTTTGCTATAAAAAATGCATATAACAAGACAAAAATTTTTTAATTAAATATAGTATTCAGTATTACATTCAAAACTTACCTTAAATTTGGCTTACAAGCATAAAATTTTAGCTGCAGGTTGACACACACAAACGCCACTGTTTAAATGAATGAAGATTTAATTTATTTAAATAACAAATCAATTTTTCAACGCTCTTTGCATAAGAAAATTTATTTTTTTTTTTTAATTCAATAACTTAGCTATTCATATTATAAAACTTAGCTAAGCGACCGTCAGCGTAGAGGCATTTATGGTCGCGCACGAGCTGCAGATTAACTGAGACTAACCAAACCGCAGTAACAGCAAAGAACTCAATGTCTACGCCGAATCACCGCAGACGTTTAGATAACACACTCGAAATGTGTGGTTAAAGTAAAAAATCAAAACAACAACGTATTAAGACAAAAACAAGAGCAACAAATGCAACCCCAGCTAGTTGATGATTAAATTGCCAAAACACAAGCTGTGCCGCGTCACCGCGTCGTATACGTAACGTGTCACAGAAACTCCGCTGACAGACTGACCGCAAATCTTTTACACTTGCTAGCCGCAAAACCGCGCGACTAAAGTACATTTGTAGCTGCAGGAATATTTAGCAAAAGAAACGCGCTGATTATGGCGGTCTGACAAGTTAGTAATACTATATATGTACCTACATGAAGTTAAACTAGCGCAGGAATAACAACAACGACCTACTGTCGTACATACATACATACATACATACATAAGTAAGTGGAGTGTTAACAGCCGCTTTGGCAAGGCCAACAACAAAACGGGGCTAAATGGCTAACTTGAAGATTTATTGAGAAGGGCGACGACTAGTGCATTTGCACACAGACAAGCACACACATACACACACACAGGTATGAATGGATACATGAATCCTTACACAACCTGACTTACACACCAATGCCCACTAACTACCATTTATTAACAACTGTCGCTCCACCAACATATTTGTTATTTTTACTGCTATGGAGTAACATATGTATATGTATGTATGTGAATATTATCCTTTATTGTTGTCGTTATAACTACAAAATTCTTTGTTTGCTCTGCTTTGGTTCAACTTTGTGCGCACTTCAACACACTTATGTCTTGAAGTTGGTGCCGCCGCTGTCGCTTTGCTTGCTGGCGCACACGGTAACCACAAAAACAGCAACACGGGGAATACAAACAAGCACACAGCCACTCACACGCACACACACACACACATTTGTTCAATATAGTAGTACACGGCATATCAGCTGGTCCCTGTTGACCAAAACCGACCGCAATGACCTGCATACTGCCTTTAACTATTTGACCCCCGCCGCAGATTTCGAGCGGCGCAAAAGCAATGGTGGCAAAAAGTATGAGTGCACAAGTCAAAGCGCTCAGAAGCAGCAACAATAAGAAGAAGAAAAAATAACACTAAATATAACGAAAATAGTTGTGTACAAAGACGAATTGGTTACGCCACTTTGGTTTGTTGCCCCCCCCCCCAACATTCTAATATATGTATGTATATCCCCACAGCAGTGTCGACAGGCGCTAACGCTAGCCAGCGAGGTGGAAAAGAAGAATTAAATGAATGTAAATTTGACCTGCTTTTGCGTACTCAATTTGGGCCATTTTAATGTGCATATATGTATGTTTGCATGAGCATGTATCCTCCGCCAGGCGCGCCGCCGTCTCAACCACTTGAACGTACCGCTGCTTCCTTAGCCTACCCGCAACCGCCCCGCCACGCGGCACTTCCGTTTCCCGTCTTGAGCTGTGCGCCACATTTCGCTTTTACACTCTTACTTTTTTCACTTTTCTCTACTTGCCTTTTGCTTTCCTTTTTTTTTTTTTTGTTATATTGTTTTCACCTGCTGCTCACAACTAAGTCAGTATGCGCTTAGTTTGCGTGCCAATGCCGGCGCGCCGGCGCTGTGGGGAGTGTGGCTACAAATGATATTGAAATTTCAGCAAAAGTGGACAAAAACAAAAGCGTCGGCAACAAACGTATCAACAGAGGAAAAATGTTGTAAAAGTATGGCAAAACTTTTACTTTCATTTCGATTCTTATTTTACTCTTGCGGTAGGTATGCGCATGAAATGAAAACGTGGCCGCCGCCGCCGCCTTTGGCATTTGCTCACTCCCTATAGCGCTAAAGCCTCGGTCAAGCAGACTAGTGGTGCCTACAATGGTCGTGGTTGCTTTTTCAATTTTTTATATTTTTCTTTCTTTTGTGTTGCATACTTTCTTCAAAGTCGTTTTCAATTTTCCTAGAGAGTTTTTTTACACCTCCACACACACACATATTTCAACAGAAAGTGTGTTGGTGTCGCGGCGGGTGCGTTTGTATGCAAAATACTCGTAATGCCTTGCGCTTGCAATTCTATGACACGGCGGCCATATGACGCAGATGTGTATGTAGGTATGTCCCCGCCTATCTGCGTCAGCACAGCACAGCTTAGCAGAGTAAGTTGGTTTTTACGTGGCAACAAGAAAATGCATTTTCTAGTTTTAAACCAATTTCAAGAACCATAAAATGCTTATGCCTTTTCTTCAGCGCCGCCCTTATTCAATTCAATTCCTAGCTTAAGGTGAACATGAAAAAATCTGATTTTCTTAGTTGGTGGTTAAGAATGATGAGCTCAATATTCTTGCTGCTATTGCCAATTTAAATCGATTTCCTTCTAACTTTATCTAAGTTGTTTTAGGTTGGTCCGGGTACAGATGAATGTTTGTGGGTGTTTGTATATGTCTGCAGTTCAGCAATATGCCAATCGATTTTTATGCACTACATTAAGATGCCTCACCAAAAGGTGATTATTTATGCAAGGAAAATTCTGGCCAACATAGCTTGTCCTTAGTTGATACTAGTAGTACTAGTAAATGCCTTTGGAGGATTTAAGAATTTAAAGTTTATGGGGACACTCAGCAGGTCGCACAGTGATCAGAATTGGCATTTTGTGTTCACAATTCACTGGACCCTTCATTTTTCACTCAATTTAATAATAATCCCAACGGGTTTTACATGGCGTACGGAACCAATATTGTTTTCAATTTTTGTGCCGAGTCACGATAGGGTCACTAATAAATTTTTTTAAATGACTGATAACAGATATTTAATTTTTGTATTAATTTTTTTAGTGCAGAGTACAGAAAAAGTACCAATTTTGAAGAAAATCGATTCTCATGTTCCAGTTGGAGACAATTGTAGGGTTCCCCCGAAATTAAAAAAAAAAATCACAAACAAAATTTTAAATTTTCACCAAAATTAAAAAAAAAAACTTTAGTTTCTATATAAATGTTAGGTATGCAGTTTTATAGATCATTCAATTTTAGTTTAATAAAGTGCAATTTGGAAGTTGCTAAGCGGTGGCAAAAAATCTATGCCAAGAAAGAATAATGGTCAAACTGAATTTTAAAATTTTTTTTTGTAAAAAGACCAAATTTTTTAGTGTTGATATTTTATTTTTTTTATTTTTTTACAGACTTTTACATTGGGGCCGTGAGGTTTTTCCTGAGAAGACCCCTAGTAAAATTTTCCGAAGAATAATTTTCTAAAATATACCAATCCTCTAACGAACCTCCAAATTTGCTTTTTGCGGGGTTTCTTGATGTAAAGGTCAAAACGAACTTTTCATGTGGGAGCCAATGGGCTGAAACGTGCCACGAAAATATTTCCCATGAAATTTGGCTATATAACCTTACCTTTAATTTTTAAAAACTTTTTAACTCTAATCTTTAAAACTGGTCTAACCAAGAAGCAGAATTTGAAAGTTTTCTTTTTCCAATCCGCTTTCGAAATTATATCACAAAAGACTAACA